TTCCAGCTCAGCATATTCTGGGATTCTGTGTATGAGCTTTAGGATTTAGTTCAGGCAGAACTATTGAATCTCCAGAATTTCAGGCCTGTATTCAGAATTATAAAGGTTAAATTGTTTAACAGCCTCTTACTAACCTTGTCCCTTTTCCAACATGATGCTCCCCACCTTTCAAGTGGTTCATCTGCGAGACCTTGTGTTCTGTGCTGCTTTTGGCAGTCAGGCTAAGGGGCTGGTTAAAGAGAAAGGTCTGGAACAAGGTAGAAACAGTTGTCTCCTCTAGAGATAGTTAATTCTTGCAGTGGTGATTGCACTCTGTGCAAGGAGAGGATGATGTTCAGGGAAGTTCCATGGCAGCAATGTCCTCCTGAGGTCAGAGGTGCAGCAAGTGAGGAGTGTCTTAAGTGTGGGCTTCACAGGGTAGCTTAGGAGAACTCCTGACCTCTGTACCTTCCAAAAACCAAGCGTCACTTCAGCACTATTACAGTTTTCCCTAAAGGTTAAAATGCTAAACACTTCAGTCGATTATGATCATTGCACGATCCATTTCAGAAACACCTCCTGGGTTCTCCCAGCTTTGATATTTGCAGCAGCTCTGTTGGGCATGTCCTGCACATCCCCTGGGAGCCTTAGAGCTGAAGGGGAAAACTGAAACACTCCTGATTCAGAGGCTGAAGAGACATTGCAAAGTTAGTGCACCTACATCTGCCTCCGAAGGAGAACACTGAATAAAAATCCACCTTGATGTGCTCTTGAATTGCAAAAGCCTTCTAATGCAGCCTGTGCCCATGATTTATAACAATGACTCATAATATTGCATTATACTTAATATGATGTAACGCTGATGCAAGATGCCATTCGTGGAATTTCAATGTCACAGAGAAAAAGAGAGGAGAGAGCAGTGTGGTCACGGACCTTGCCACGCTGTCAAAATGAAAATGTACAGCCAAAATACGCAAAACCTTTCAATATCTGCTTTGCTATTTTTTTAGCAGAATAACTTGGGGAATAACATTTTTATTTCCTGGAGCATAAATATCTCCCAGACATACGTTATTGTGTTACTTACAGTAATTTAATTAACTTTATACTCGAGAAGACAAATTTGCTAACAGACAATTCAGTCTTGCAATTATAACCCCCTCACATGGAAGTTTGCAGGGCAAAGCAGGATTATGCCTTTAAATTAATTGAAGCTTTATCTCCCTTTTCTGACCCAGCTGTTATGAATTCTCCTCCTGTTCTCCCTGTACTCTTGCTTCTTCCTGCAGTGAATCAGCATTTCAGGAAATACTAATTCAAAGAGGAAAGACACCCTAAACTCTGTTTCTGAAGGTCAGAAATAGCTGCTCTCCAATAGGTTTGCCAAATGAGGTGAGGCTTCTCGGGCTGCTTGGGGCCAGTTTCGTAGGGTGGATGCGACCCCTGTTCTGAACTCTGCCCCCTCCCTTCCACCCAGCCTGGGAACTCTGAGGCTGTGCTACAAAAGGGAGTCCTGGTGCTTTGTCACCGGGGCAGAGAGAGAAACAGGGAGCAGAGCCCCGTCCTTCAACAGTGAGGAAAACTGCTTATGGCTGCAGGAGCCGCTGGCATCACTGCCTTTGGTCCAGGGTGTGGGAGCAGCTGGGAATGGGGACGTGGCCCCACTCTCAGGGAGTGCTCCTCATGCAGCCTGGGCCTGCACACCACTGTTTTTCAAGCACTGCACCACCAAAGCTGTTAAGCAAAGGAAGGTGGGTGTTCTCCACCTGTGACCTTCAAAATCCTCCACATCTGACAATTGTCTCATTTTTGGAAAGAGCTGACAGGCTGTAGAATCACAGAATACGCTGAGATGGAAGGGACCCACAGGGATCACCCACTCCAACTCCTGGCCCTGCACAGGACACCCCAAAATCCCACTCTGTCCCTGAGAGCATTGTCCAAAAGCTCCTTGAGCTCTGGCAGCCTTGGGGCCGTGACCACTCTCCAGGATAACTGTTCTCCTGCTCTGACAGAGTCATGTATTCCGTATGTTCTGAGACTGTTGATGGCACTGCAGGAAGCAGAGAGGTATCTGCCTAAAACAAACTATGAGAAGGCGGAAAGTCCTGAATGAGATCTCCAAAAATCCCGGATCAGGCTTTTCCTGGAGGTTTTCTGTTGGTTTATACCGTGCAGTCCTACCTACGCCCAGTTTCCCCAGTAAGCCCAGCAGACCTGCCTGCTGCAGTACAAAGTCTGTCACCCCTCACTCACCAGATGGAACAGATGAATTCACCAGTGATTCTTAAGAAGACTCTCATCTTATCTCAACTAGATCATGAGAGACCTGTGCTTTATTAGAGTGCATCCTGAATTCCCTGCAGCTGGTTGTGGTCCTGAAGAAGGACCTCTCCAGAGGTGAGTGGGCACAACACACAGCACAGCTTCGCCTTGCAAGACCAAAGTAGTAGAGGGGACTGACTTTTGGATGGTGGAGTGGTGTCTACGGGTGGAGGTAACAAATCAATCAGAATTGAACACCTGGTTTATTTTTGGAAGACTAGTAGGTGCCAGTCTGTCTCCTAAGTGCATAAATATCATCAAAAACTTAGGCACGGGAGAGCAAAACTAGACAAGAATTTGTAGCCCAGAGGAAAGCCAGCACAAATAGATTGTGTGGAGGCTGATAAGATCCCTATTGCTCCAAAAGGGAGAGCACCACCTCTCAACAAGACTGTCTTTGTTGTGAAAGAGTTGGGTTGTGAGAGACCTGGCTTGCCAAACACCCATAACGCCCCCCCCCCCCCGCCAATTGTCTCTAAATACTGAGATCTTTCACACAAGAGCAAAGCCTGAAAGGAACCTCTCTAGCAAAAACATCGTTTATTCATTCTCTCCAGGACAGTGGAGTAACAATCCTCCTCTGAGTCCTGTTACTCTTTCTTTCCCCCGGAGGTTTCAGAGATTTGTTCGAACAAAGATCAGTCATTCTGCCCTGTGAGGGGCGCAGGAAGAAGCGCACAAATATCTGGAGATCAGAGCAGTTCCTGAGCCTGGCGGAGAAATGGCAGATGGCCAGAGATAGCACACACCACTGTTCTCCCAGGTAACAATGAGGAGAGCTGGATCTTCCAGGCACAAGCTTTCAGGACAGCAAATTGTGCACAGAAAGGTGAGAAACACAAGGAGCTCGTGTCCTCAAGGGGATGCTTTGCCTTCTCACAGCCCAGCTCCAGCACCAAGAGCCCTCCTCTACCCCAGGTCCACGCCTGGGTGAGAATGAAGATTAAAAAATGCAGCTTTTCTATTTGTTTGTATCTTTCAGGTCTGTATTGGGAGACAAATTTATAGCCAGCAGGCAGTTCCATCTATGTTTGCAGTCTGGTGTGGGCTGGTGTGTCATTCATTGGGAATCTTTTACTGCCAGCACCTATCAAATACTTTCAAGGAAGTAGCTTTCCCACGAAGGTGAAACTCCTCTGCTCTTTTTTACTTCACTGGATCTGTGCTTGTACAGTAGAGCAGGCTGTGGGCGTTGGTGCTTTACCCAGCTTTTCAGCTACCAGAAGCTAAGCAATAAAGATCTCAGATCATTTGTTTAGCAAATATTAATGGTTAATCCTTGAGTTATTATCAGAATTCAGTTTTGCTACCGTGGAAGCGCAAGTTTTTTGCACCAGAGAGCCAGACACAGGCACTGGGGGTACTACACAGGGTAAGCCCCACAACCTCACCTCTAAAACTACCACAGCAGCATTAAATTAAAGAAGGGCTGGGCTTTTGTTTGGGGTGGAAATGGCTTCTCTTCAATACAATCTGCTTGGCTCCAGCGTAAGTGGAGATGTCTCAGAGCCTACAGGTAATTACCACAACGAAAATAGTATCCACAAATTACCTGCTGCTCCCAACTTCCTTCTCCCATTTGCTTCTAAGTCACACGAACATAATGCTGAAATCAGGAGTATTGCACAGGAGGGCAGATGGGAGAAGGTAAAGCAGAGAGCTGAGGAAGCAGAGGATTGACATTCCTCCCGTAAGATGCGATCAGCAAAATGGTCACCCCCACAGGGAAGGCAGCGCTGGAGGTACCTGCATGGGGAGCACACGCAGACACCCCTGGCTGTTCCCAGCCGGAGCCACAGCACCACTGGGGCTGCCCTGAGGTTTGCTGGGAATGCCTGACCCGCAGGGATCTGAGGGGCACGGATCACACCGGGTCTGGCACCCGCAACAGCTGCCGCTGACCATCAGGAGCTGCGTTCCTGCCTTCCCCAGCACCGGTTCCGCAGTGCCTGCTTTCAGCTCCTCAGCCCCAAAGAACGGGGAGGGGGTGGGAATGTTGCTGTGCTAAACCCAGCCCCGTGCCACGGTGTAACAGTGGGCCAGCCTGGGGTCCTGTGCTGCAGCATTTCCCACAAAAGAAGCATTTCTCACAAAGAGCAGGGCTGGGAGAGTGGGGTTGAAAGCGATCCCTTTCCAGCCGAGTGAGAGGTTCATGTCTGAACCTGACGGGAATCCCGGTCCCCCACACAGTAGCAGCTTTTTATCATGAGTACCATTTGAGTTCCCAGATAAAATGTTTGTTTGCTTTCTTCCTTTTACCGCTGTAAAGAGTTACATTTAGACAAACATTTGACAGACAGATGGTCCAACAAGCCTGTCTAACTTGCAGAGGTGCCTCCTCGCCTACTGTAAATGATGCCAGCATGAAAGCACTGGATTCTCCCGCACTGGAGGTGATGGAAGCCCTCTCCAACCCCGGGGTGGAGAACAGAGGTCACTCACCTTCCTCCCAGCCTCGTTGTTGTGCAGGTTCATGAGCGTCCTGGCGTTTTGTTTGATCTCCCGGGCGTCCACAAAGACCTTGGCGAATCCGATCCCGTATCGGATGTCAGCGGAGCAGCCTCCCCATTTCCAGCCTTCCTCCTTGTGGTACTGTCCCTGTTTCTCCTTATCACAACCACAGTCACTCAGGTTGCCCTGCGTGCAGGCAGCGGTGATGGCGTGGGCCACCCCGGCCGCGATGATGGCGTAGGTGAACGCGGCCTCTCTGCTCCCTGGAACGGGAAAAGGGCCATAAAAATGGGATACCAGAAAGGTAAAAACTGCCAGAAACTTGTGACAGCTGCAAGGTAAAAACTGCCATAAATCTGCGATGCCTGAAATGGAAAAAGTGCCACAAATACATTATATACCACACAGGGACACGAGTTAGAAAACCAGGCAAGTTCATCAGAACCAGACATCGGGAGTTATTATTAGAAGTGGTATAAATCTGCAGGCCTAAGCAGGTCTCTGCTCTTCTGAGTATTGATTTTGGTGGATGCTCGCTCTCTGAAATGATGCTCTCCGTGAGGGAGTCGGAGATAAAGCACTGTTGGAGGCAACTTCATCTGCGTGCTTCCAGATGGTACCAGAAGCAGTCAAACTAAAATTTTAGAGCAAAAGGGCGGGGTGGCAAAAACTTTAGCTTAAAAAAAAAGAAGGAAGGAAAACAAAAGAGGTGGAACTGAGGGGGGGAAATCACTAAAATAACCATATTTGACTTTTTTTAAAAAAAATCACAGAATCACAGAATCACAGAATGTGCTGAGTTTGAAGAGACCCACAAGGATCATCAAGTCCAACTCCCAAGAGTCACACCCTGTGCCCCAGAGGATCATCCAAACAATTCCTGAAATCATCTCAGAAGTAGCATTTTATTTATAAATTTAATGCTACGCTAAAAGGGTTTTTTACAGTAAAACAACCTCTGCTGGACATCTCGTTCTGAAAGCATTTTAGCTGAACTGGGACATTTTTTTCACATTGTGTCACAGCATTTTCAACACTGACTCAGCGAAATAAGTTTCGAAATTTCAATTCAATAAATTTCCAAATTCCTCACAGGATGGAAAAAAAACCCCCTTACCTGTTGAGAGTACCACGACCAAAGGGAGGTGAAGTGGAGCCTCACCAGAGGGCTGGGAGGCAGAGGTTAAACCAATACCATTTTTTGCAATTAGGCTCTAATGAGAGGCTTCTGTTTGTTAAGGACTTACCCCTACTCTCATTTCTCCAATGACAGAATGTGCCCTTGCATTAGTAGGATCAGAATCAGGCTCTTGATTAGGAGAGTGCAGATGGAAAGATCCACTGCCCTTCTCCAGTTCTGGCAGACCTCAGCTGCTGGCAATAGTTTATTATACGTGAAACAAGCCCATTTCTGCTGTTTATTGGATTTCACCAAAAAAATAATCACTTGGGAAAGAAACCTTACAAGCACTTCATTCCTGGCTACATCCCTTTCATGTACACGATCTAGATCGTCACTTTTAATAAAAAAATGTTCACTTCCTTATGCCAAGGAAGTAAAATGGAAAACAAGATGACATTATCACAAGCTGCTAATAGACAGCTTCATGCCCTTTCATTCTCGTGGGTCCTGCCAAGCACTGTATTTATGAAGGAACTGGGAGTCAAATATCAAAGTTCCTCGAAGGAGTCCTTGTATCTCCTCATTAAAAAAAAAAAAAAAAAAAAAAAAAAAAAAAAAAAAAAAAAAAAAAAAAAAAAAAAAAAAAAAAAAAAAAAAAAAAAAAAAAAAAAAAAAAAAAAAAAAAAAAAAAAAAAAAAAAAAATCATGAAATGTTGAATTGTTGTGACTGTGGAATTTGCAGATGAAGCTTTCTAGAGAACTCGTGGCTTTTTATGAAAATAGGAGTGTGGCAGAGAAATCCCAGGCTTTAGGTGTTTTTGGAGCTGGTGCTCTCAGAGCCCCTGGAGGCCAGAGAGTCCCACTCCAGAGTGCAGCCACCAGGACCAGCCAGGGCAGCTTTCCAGTGCCTCCCCCAGTTCATACTCAACCATATCCTCGCTATTTTAAGCCCAACACTATGAAAAATGCCCTCATAAGCAGGAGAGGTACAATAAGAAGTCCCAGTCTCTCCCCTCAGAGGGGAGCAGTGCTTTACACCAGGTCTCTGTTTCATGAAGTTTGACCTGGGATGATGTCAAAAAAAGTATTTTTGAGTAGAAATTTTCATCTGGTTCTTGTGGTTTTTTTCCCTTTCTTTCTTTGATTGAATGATTTCTGTTCCAGCACAAGTTATTTTTAAGATCTAGAATAAAAACCACTGGGAGATCACTTTAGTCTGACACATTTGATACTGTAAAGACTGAGCAGCTCTTTTGCTTCTGAGAGGGGAGAAAAATGCAACACAGAGAATATAAAACCAGTTAGTACAAGAAGAATCGGAATCCAATGTCAAGCTTGATCATAAATTATGTTACATAAAGTATTTCAGAAGTTTATCTCATATGGGGGTAAAGTTTAGCAGCTTTTGAAAATTTAGGAGATTTCAAGGTAAACGAAGCAAGTGTCTGGAAGAATTGGTCCAGGTAGGAAGTACCTTGGCACTTGTGCACTATTGATAAAGGGTTTGTCCCACCTGCATCCCACTGTTCCTGTTTGCCACACTGGAAGGGTGTGGAAACCCCTCATCTGCAGTCATTACCTTATCTAGATGATTAGAAACATCAGACCACATCTGGAAGAGTGAACTATGTTTTCAGCACTGACCTCACTAAAGACCTTTTGGAGAGAGTTAAATAAAATCTGCTGATTGGCATGAGCTACTCAAACTGTCTCTTGAGCAATTTGCTGACCTGTTTTCTAGGTGTGTTGTGTGGAAACCCAGGAATTAAATCTTCTTTCACGCAATTCCAACCGAATCCATCCTTGAACTGCAACTGGACTTTAATCTATGGGGGTTTTAAAAGTAAAAATTTAATTTATAAATATAAATAATGAGCAAATCAGTTGATCTTTATGGGAGGATTGGTGCAAATCACACCCCTGGGGCTGTCCTCAGCCCCAACAAGTGTTTCAGTGCTGTGTGAACATGGAGGCTTTTCTTCATGTGTTGGACATGAATATCTTCCTGCTCTTCCTCTTTCTTTCTGGGCTTCAGTAAGGTGTTGGGGCACAATTATTTAGGGAATCACCGAGCCTCCTTCACCACTGCCACCCAACAGGTTCATCTCTGGCTGCCTCCACATCCCATTCTTTTCCTCACAGTTCAAATAGGATGAGGATCATGGAAAATGTCCTCTTTTCATCTTTAATAGTTCTCTTTGGTGGATCTGGGGATTCAAATATTCTGGTGTGCATTTGGTTGAAGGTTGGACTTGATGCTCTGGTTGGTCCTTTCCAACCTTAATGATTCCGTGATCCTGTACATTGTGTTGCAGCTCCATTTGTTCTGATGGCAGATAGTTTGGCACTGGTGGCTCCCAAAATTCCAGCAGGTGCACTCTGCTGATGCAAAGCATCCTCCAAAACCCTGGAGTCCTGTCTCCAGACCCTTCCCTGGGCAGCACATCTTCCCAAGCCGTCCTTGAGTGTGACTCTGAGCTCTGCACAGCCAACCACCCCCACAGAGTGACAGATGCCACAAGGGGACCACGGGCAAAAAAACCCAGTGCAAACATAAATATTACGAGGACAGGAGGCTCTGCTAACACTGAGTATGATTATACACAACCCAAGAACACCTTGGAGTGTTAATCCTGCAAACACTCACATGCATGTCTTCGCTTCTGGGTCTAAATGTTTGCTAGACTGGGTTTTGGCTGATCAGCAACTATATCAGCTGCAGAGAGTGGGCTGCATTCTGGTTTTAATTCGGCTAACTTCATATTATTTCAAGTTTTATCCTAAAATTTGAAACATTTTTAAAAACTTCACTCACATGGATCAGAAACAGGAACTGAGGTTTAAAAAAAAAATTCCACACCTTGATGTTTCTTGGAAAACAAAGCCTAAGCCTGCAAGATACAGAGTGGATTTACTTGCAGGAGGGCAGTAGGTGCTCAGCAGTTTGGGATCTGGGAGTGTTTCTAAACAGCCTGGCCTGCCCTATCAGTTCCCTCCTAAATTGACTAAGCTGTGAAATAATAAAAAAAAAGACAAATTTCTGTTTATCTCACTGGAAAACACAGGTTGTATTTTCTGCTATTTAAAGCCAAAGGGTCAGAGAGGGAGTTATCTGCAGTGACATGAGCTGAAATATGATGGGGAAAATATAAAGATGGAAAACACAGCTCACCTTGCCAATTATGTGCCACAGCTCACATTACTTCCCATCTCTCTATAGAGGTCATAACTCACAGGCAGGGAAAATGAAGAGCAGAACTCATCCTCTGCCTGCTTTGGGAAGAGCCTCCTCCTTCCTTGGTAGACTATGTATGGTCTTGCAGGTTTTTTTTTTATTTTTATCTTTTTTTAACCTAGCCTGAGTGATTAATAAGAATGATAGCTTAAAAAAAAAAATCATTGGGGTATCCTCATCCTATTTTTTTCTTCCCTTTCCATTTAAAGTTTTGGGAGTTGGTGCCTAAAAATATTGTACTCACTTGGAAATGGTTGGTTCCCTGTAAATCAGCAGTGTGGTTTTACAAAGACTAGTACCAAGAAATAAAATAAATAGAGTTTCTTTAAGAGGCATTTGAGACTTTGGGGGGTTTAGTCACTGCCCACTTTCACAAGCTGAAGTTTCTTTCATCGGCACATGAAATTCTCAAAGAGGAAACACTCCAGGTATAGTGATCACTTTGGAAAATACCTCCTTTAAACTTATAAAGTTACTGCTGGAGGCATGTGCATCACAGAAATCACAGCCAGAATTCTGGGAGTTCAGATAAGTCTCCCCTTTTCAGAGGGCTCTGAGCCCCCCACAGCCCCGAGATGGGAGATCTCCTACCTCTCTCTCAAAATGCAATCTTTCTGTTTCTCTGGAACATGTACTCACAAGACACATCTGAAGGCAGGTATGAAAACCTTCTGATGGGAATTCCAACTGCAGTGACCTTGGGGCAATGTTTTATCTTCCTGTGACAGTCCCTGCTGAGAAAGATTGACTTTTTGGCATAAAGCAGCGTGCTCAGGTTTGGATGATCAGCCCGTATTTCAGCCTGGCCTCTGTTTTGCCTGCAAATAACTGTTCTGCAAGACACTGACAGTAAAAACTGGTTGTAAGAGCTGGAAACTTAGCACTGAAATTCAGATTCTTGCTTG